ACATTTGTCTGGGCAGCATCAAAGAACAGCAGAGGAGTATTACTGTACTTACCAACTTTATTTTCTTCCACAGGGAGTTCTCTGTAAAGCTATCAAGAAAAAATATCATAGGAAGATGCATAGCTATGTGTGTCATTTTATGTTGACACTGCAGCCAATTCATTTCAATTACAGTAGCCATGAATGTCTAAGCAGCAGAGATCACTAATTAGTATTGACAGAGAAAGCCCAATCCAGTGATCTCTGAAGTCAGTGGAGAGTCTCCTATTGATTTATTGTTTTTACTTGTCTTACAAATGTGTCAAGATGTCTGCTGTGGAGATGTGGGTGCTTCTGAGCAGTCACGTAACAAAAAGCTTATGATCTGCAGAGATGAATTTGGAAAAATAAGGTTTTGATTACCCTTACAGAAAACATTTGCTATTTGTGTGCTACCAGGCTCATCCTCTTCCAATCTCTTCTTCAGAGGGGCCTTGGGAATGCTCCCTGATGTCACCTCCCTTATTGCCCACGCTGGAGGTGGATGAGAGCAGCACACCTAGGTGCAGCCACTCACTCCAAACCTACCTGCCTGACCCTGAATGGCCTCATCCTGTGCCCTAGAGTGCACCACTGCCTCTGCCTGAAGATGGTGTGCAGCCCACAAGTCTAGTCCTAAGGGTGGGCAAAAGTGCCCATCAAAATGTGGCACAGAACTCCCTATTTTCTGCACTGCTCACTGCAGGAGCCCATCTGGTCTCCTACAGCTCTGTTGACTCAATTCCACTGTCCTTCAAGACTACCCAGGTTTTTAAACAAAAGCTTCATCCATGTTTGCCAATTCACTGACCTGCTTCTAACTATTTAGCCCGTGCATCTTTATGGTTAAAACATAACAACACATTTGAGGCTGACATTAGATTTATTTTAAAGATGCTTACACCTTTCTTAAGAACTCTGCCAGAATTTTCTGGACATCATTAGCCATGTGGTAAATATTTGTGATACTTTCTCAGGTTTTCCAGGCAGTTTCATTCGTGAGGGTACAGATGTTTAGATTTGCTTTCCAGTTCATGCATCTGTTCATGATTTCCCAGTTGCTGCATGTGATGTGTTTGCTTAATAAGTACAGAGCATAGCTTTAGGAGTGCTAAGCTTTTTGTGCATTATCAATGTCCTTTTCTTACTCTATGAAGAAGTATGAAGACTTTTAAAATGTGTAAAGTATAAAGTATAAATCAGACCCTGTGCAGACCATTGCATCAAAGCACGTACGGCTCCCTGGGGCTCCAGAACATGAACGCAGTTTAATTGGGGTTATGACTCAGTAGAATTATTTTGATTGTATTCAGGGGCATGGAAAAGGGCTATCTTGTTGCTTCAGTAGGGCCCCTTTCATGAAGGACAGAAGAAGCAGAGGAACAAGAAGGACTTGTTGCCAAAACTCCTGACTCCCTGCAAGTAAAGCAAACGAGAGTCACTTGTTGGCATAGGGAAAGGCAGTGACCCAGCTGGAGTTGTCCTAGAAGCCAAATTCAGTCAGCAGGTTGCTTTGCATCCTCATGTCTTAAGTTACAAATGCCTGACTCTAAAGATACTCATGAAAATAATTTTTTTGGCCATTGCTGGCTTCCTGGGACCACCCCTTCTTTCTGATAGTGCAAGGCAGGGTACAGCTGCACAGACAGCAGCAGGTCTTCTTCAGTGATGGACCTA